CACCTGCCCACCCCCCGCCCCCGCAACACAAACAAGCACATACAAGCACACACAAACACACACACACACACACACACACGCACTCACACACACACCTACACACACACACCCAGTCCCCCGGCGTGCCCTACAAGCGCGTGGAGTGCCTGCGTGACCTGCGGGCCATGTACGAGGCCGCCACAGTGGACGACATCTACGAGGCATACGACTGCCTCGCCATTGGAGAGGACGAGGTTAGCACGCTCGCATGATCTGACCTCGTGACTTTGTGATCTGGATCTGGCCGCGTGACGGCGCGATCTTGGGCTTCTCCGAAGCCGCTCCCCTGCCTGCGGCTCGAGGGTCGGGGGCCGCGACGCGGGGGAGTTTCGCGACTTCAGTCTGGTCTGTTGGCACGGCGAATCTGGTGGATAGCCGAGGTGGCAAAGATGCGGTTTTTTGGCGGCTGTCTGATGCTGAGCGGCGTGCGCCCACCGCTCATCGCCGCCTTGTCTCGCAGGTGTTCTCGTGCGTCGGCACCAGCGGCAAGGCGCCCCCGCCCGCGCCAGACACCGCGCGCCTCGCGGCGATCTACGGCCCGGGCCCCGCGCAGCAGGCGGTGCCGCAGGGGCCGCTGCCGGCTGATGTGGCGGCGGCGGTTGCGGCCGGGCTCAGCAAGCTCTTTGGCGGCCAGCAGGCGGCCGCGGCAGCCGCCGCGGCGGCGGCGCCCGCGGCGGCGCAGCAGCAGGGCGGCGGCGGCGGCGCGGCGAACGGGGCCGCGGCGGCGAACGGGGCGGCGGCTTCGGCGGCGGCGGCGGCGATCGGGCAGCAGCAGGCGGGCGGGCAGCCGTTGGCGGTGCTGACGGCGATGCTGGCGGCGGCGCAGAGCGCGAAAAACCTCAAGGCTTTCCAGAGCCAAGAGGGCGCAGCGGCGGCGGCGGCGCAGCAGCAGCAGCAGCAGCAGCAGCAGCAGCAGCAGGACCGGCCTGAGGCGTGATCTGGCGTGACCTGGCAGCAGCTGCCCGGCATGTTGTTCCGTGCGCCCCCGACCGGCCCGTGCCCCAGCACGCATGGCTGCTTCCGCGCAGCTTGCGGCCGCCGAGCGCTGGCGCGGGGCCTTTCGCCTGTTCCGGCGGCATTAGAGGGTGCGGTGCTGTGTGGTTCGTCATACCGTATTTCTTCCACCAAACGATTCTCCGCCCGCAACTCCATATCTCGGTTCCCACATTTTGGCAGCAGCCCCCCCGCACCACATGCGGGCCCCTGCAGCGCCGGCCGCCCCGCGGCTGGGGCCGCCACCGCCGCTGCTGCAGCGGCCGCGGGGCTCGATGCGCTGCACCGCCGCATGTGCGCAGCGCGCCGTGCAGCTGGGTCCCGGACCGGCTCCTGAGTCGTTGCCCAGATTTGTTGTCGCGTGCTGCGCTTTGTGTGGTGCTGGGCTGCTGCGCCCTCTTGTCGTCCCTTCTGAGTCCCCGCCGCGTGGCTGGGCCACCCGCATGGCTGGGCCACCCGCACGCGCCACATTTTCTCCGTGCGGCGTCGTAGCTGCACCATCATCATCAGTTTTGCAACGAGCAGCAGCGCCAGCTGCGCAGGCGGGCGGGCAGACAGGGGCGGGCCCGCAGGGCGCGTGCCGGCCGCCCGTGGTTGTCGCTCTACGCCGCCATGCGCCAAGCCACGCGTCTTTCAATCGGGCTTCTGTAGAGAAGGGGCGCGCGCCCCTTTCCGCGCCCAGGGGCCTTGCGGCTGACCCACGTACCCCACTGTTTAGGGGCCGCGGTGCTTTACTCCTGAGGGTGCCATTCGGTAAAATGTTGTCATGCAATACAGTCCACGTTAACGCTGACAGCATGCGGGCCGCCGCGCTGACAGCAAAACAGGCAAGCCGTGGCAGTCCCAAAGCTGGGGAGGGGGGGAATGCCGCTTAGAGCAGCCGGGTGGTTGAGCGTGACAGGATTTGGTCAGCAGTGACAGCTGAAAAGGGAGTGCCTGCACCAGGGCAGGTGATGCGTCGCGCCCCCCACACCTTATAGGGGTGCCCAAGGTGGCACCGCGCATTGCAGCGGCATGCTCGCGGCCCGCGGCGGTCCGGCAGGGTGAGGCGCCCGCGTGCTCGGGCGGCCCTGGTGCTGCAGCTGCTGCACCGGGGCCCCCGGGATCTGGGGAAGTGGGTTCGTTGACCTGGCCAGCCGTCTCACTCGGCCCTCCTCAGGGGACATTGTGGTGCTTGTTGCGCACGAAGGCGGCCCTGCTGGCCAGGGGCTTTTTGCAGGGGCTGTTTGCTGGCAACTGTAAGTAGTGCTGCAGCAAATGCTCGTCGGGCGACGGCGGGCCTGGGCAGCAACGGTACCTGATGGGGAACGAGGTTGCAGCACAGGCCGCTGGCAGAAAGCGGTGCCCGGCGGCTGTGGGCACGAGGAAGGGTCGGCGAAAAGGCAACCGACAGTAGAAACGACACGCGTGGGGTTCGAGGGGATAGCATGCAGGGCAAAGGCAGCAAGCTCACAGGAAGGGCAGCAGGTTCGATAAACAAGGCACGAACGTGCAGAGTTTTTTGACTGACAACCAGCTTTTGTGCAGGTCATGCGAAAACTTTCGTCAACAAATTACTGTATTTGATCAGGGTGTTGTTTAATTGGTGATGATAAAGCTCCGCCTGCAGCCACGGAAACACCCATGGCCTACCTACTGCGTACCCGTGCTGGTGCCATGATGCTGCTAGAATCCCCCAGCCTTGCTGTTCCAGCCGTACTGGGGCGACGATGCAGCCACAATACAGTGCATGGGCTCCCGCGGCCTGCACGATTCTGCTGTTGTGACTTTGCACACACCCCACCACACCGACAGCAGTCCAGCGGCACACCAGCTCTCATCTCAGCAACGTCGAGGCTGTGCAAAAGGGCTAGGTCCTCTTTGCTGCGCACCACCCTTCCTGCCGCCGTTGTTCCCAGCCTTGCACAGCATAACGCATTGCACATGCTACGGAGCGAGCAGCTGCTCAACGTCACCCAGGACGACGCCGAGAGCCCATCATGTCGGCTTGCACGTCGTCGCGTCCTTTCGCCGTCGGTTTTGATGCTGTAAGTGCGGCACAATTGCCCTGTTTCTGATCGCCACACGGCCTGAGGTCACTCGAGTGCATTGCGGCGGTGCAAGATCGGGCAGCCTTCGCTCCTCTCTGACAGCTGAGCATTAAGGAAAGTCGGTATGGCGCCCAAGAAGAAGGAAGAGGTGAAGGAGCGCCCCATCCTGGGCCGCTTCAAGACGAACCTGAAGGTGCGAGAGAGGCTTCAATGCGGCGCAATAAACTTGAGATAGTACGCTGTGCATGCTACATGCCTTTGCAGTGGCTAGGATTTGCGACGGAACCAGGGCGCAGCATGGCAGCGCTCGACTGCCCAAGCGATGCATTGCTGCATGCATTCTTTTGCTGCATCAATCAGCATGTGTACTCGACAGAGAACGCTTCTAAGCACTTGTGATGGTGGTTGCAGCGCCGACAGCGCTTTTCGGCTGCGCATGCTGCGTCCAGCCATGGGCGGCTGCACAGGCGGCTCTTGGGCGTTCATGCCTCCTCTTCGCCGCCGGCACTTTGACCGCAGATGGGCATCGTGGGCATGCCCAACGTGGGCAAGTCCACGCTTTTCAATACCCTCAGCAAGATGGGGATCCCCGCCGAGAATTTCCCGTTCTGCACCATCGACCCCAACAACGTGAGCATTGTCAGAATGACGTCACATTCCCATGACATGCCCTTTGAGCGGGCGTTGGTGCAGCTGGGGCTCCATCGGTGCAGCCACGGCTAGGACGTTGGAAGGGCACTAGATGCGTGGCAGCGGGACGGCAGCTGCCCGTCCGGGCGCCGGCGGGAATGCGTGCGCCGCCGCGGGACCCGCATTGGGCGCCGCCTCCGCAGTGGCGACGCCAGCCATTAGGGCAGGGGGATGCGGCAATGAGCAGGGGCGGGGGCTGCGCGCAGCCCGCCATGGCGGGCGGCTGGCGGCAGCCTGGCGCGACAAAGC